TATATAATAGTATATAATATTTATTATTAGATAGACTTCAAATAGTGTATAACGTCATTTTAGAATTTCAGTTTCAATTGTATGAAGAATTATTTATTGTATCAATGTGTTTCAAGATCAAGATTAAATTATTCAGCAAAAGTTTACAGTAAAGAATCAAATAAATCATATACAGGTTTGATAAATGAATAAATATAGTTAATAAATTATATAAAGAAATTTTAGTTTGTTATATATTTGATTACGGAAAACGATACTCAGCGCAGAGAATTAAAAAATAAAATAAAAAGTGACGATAAAATTAAAAAATGAAATAAAAACAATTCAATTGAGTATGAATATAACGTATCCATCAAATTTTTTCTGACACAGTACTAATGAATTACCAACGATTCTGTTTGTTGCAATATTTTCGAAACTGCAAGCTTTCTCATTTTTAAATTGAAAAGAAAAAAATCATTTTTCGAAAAATAGGATTAAAAAATTGCTTAATAAAAAATTGGAAAATTGAGGAATAGTAAACATTTTCTTAATGAAAAAACAACGAATAATTATTTATGTAAATGAATGAATAGTGAAACAGAAACAACTATTAATTTAGTACATAATTGCACATATCATATGCCATATATATACAAATATTTGTATATCTGTGTATGTATGAATTGTTAATAAATCATTATTATTATTTAATGTATTTGTTACATTAAAACTGCTCTATTTATTATTAAAGTAATAAGACAAAATTTATATTGAATAAATATTTTTATAAATGTCATTGTTGCTAAGTAAATATCCAGAAAATATTATATCTACTATATGGCATGTCTATCTATTATGCTATATGATATATTTAATTATGTACTAAGTTAGTTATGTACTAAATTGGTTGTTTGTTTCAGTGTTCACATTTATATAAATAATTATATTTAATAATTTAAGCACTCGAATTCCAAGCAAAAAAATTTGAGCTCTTATCATAAAGACACGAAATGCAACGAATAAGAATTTTTATGAATATATTAAAGTCTAGATTCTATCTTGGTTTATGTAAGAGGGTACTATAATACCGCATTTAAATATCAAATTTAGAAATAAAAAATAAAAAGGGTGTATAAAATAATACTTTTATTTTTTACGACTGCCATTTAAAGAAATTCAAGTTTGAGTTCATTTAAAAATTAAGAATATAGAAGTATAGAGTATATAGTTTTCAAGTAACTTGTTGAATCGATTCAAAAACTGCTTAATATCAATAATTCAAAAAATTAATTCATATTATCATTGATATAAAATAGACGATTAAATTTGACGATATCAAATGCAAACATCACACGATTTCATCAAAAGTTAAAGCCCCAATAGAACTAATTTCCATTTTATATTTTCCTTTGAATGATTTCTTTGCAGTTGTATCGGCGCACCACATTATATAACATCCACCAAATAACCATCTATCTTTCAATGATTATGCGACGAAACACTTTTTATTTTCCTCCTTTAACTAAAATAAAAATATCGAGATCTACGAGGAAGCGAAATTTTTTTCTCCCTGTCATTCGCGAAATATAAATCATCGTGTACGCATTTTTCCAATCTATCGATGTATCGATACGTAATATCGAAAGCGTAACACAAGAAACGTAACATCGAAAAAGAGATTCTCTTCATCGTCCATAATGTATTTCCTATAAAATAATTTCCAACAGGACCAATTCGTTCGATCCTCGATAAATACACAAGTGCATTTTCTCGATTCACTTTTCTTTTCCTTTTTTTTTTTTTTTTTTTTTTTTTTTTTTTTTTTTTTTTTTTAGCATCCTGTAATTACAATCTTCATTCGCTTTCAATATTAATTGCCGCCTGCCACAACAATTTCGAGCGGCAATATTAGCGCTATAATAACGAGTTAATGGCTTCATCGCGATACAAAGGGTGGAATTCGCAATGGCGTGATTTTCCCCGGATCTGAAGATCAGTTACTGGTGAAATCAAATTTTTAATCGGGTCTAGACGCGATCGTAAATTGATCCCGAAGTTGATAAAGAGATCGGTAAATTTCTTACTTAAAATTGTATTAATTGATCGTAAGAAAAATTGATGAAGATAAATAAAATTAAAGATAAGCCTTCACGGAACGATCGATTAAATGGCGAAAGAAGGAAATTATGCAAGTTTCGAGAGAATCGTTTCTTTTAGGTTATTTAATAGACACTTTGGAGAGATGGCTCTCTTCTACTTTGATTAATGTTTTTTACATTAAATTGCACCGGCTCTCAAGTTAAAAAACCTTCATTTTTAAGCTCGTTTCTCCGAGATATATTCGCTCAATCTGCACTTTAATTTCTTTTTCTTAATTACGCTAATATTTATATTCGTTTAATCGAGTATAGGAAAGATTTTTTCCTTTTCTCCAACTCTATTTTATTCGATTAAAACAAACGAATGAACATCATGTTATATTGGATAACGGAGGAAAAATAAAATAGAAAATTTCTAAAATTTCTATTCGTTTAATCACGTATAGAAAGAAGTTTTTCAGCTTCGTTAGAAAAACTATTTAATTCGATTGAAATATCTATAGCTTTATATATATATATAAATAATTAAATAAAAAATTTTCAACTCTATAAGCAAACATGTATAATCCAATGTATAATCCGAACGATTACAAGTAACTCGAAAAACAAAATGTTATTATCAATTCTTCATTTACATAAGCACTCATCGAATTGAAAAACAAAGTTTTCCTTCATCTTAGAATTAAAAATAATACACGATAAAATTCGATAATATTTCAATCTTTTTTCTACATATCCACAACATTACTCGTACTCGTCATATTTTAGAAACAAATATTAAATTTCAATCGCGAGAACGAATTAAAAAACGGCGTACACGATCATTTTGAAATTTAAATCTGCTTTAAATATATGCATACGTACGCATAATTTTATCGCTTATATATCAATTTTTATCGATCTCTCCCCGAATTTGCATAACCACGTAGAGCACCAATGATTATTTTAACTCGAGGTGAACGGATCGAAACGTAATACCATTTGGTCGCGCGTAAAAACTCGTTCGAGAAACGCGCACGATAGCTATACACGTAGCTAGTTCCATCTTCTTCTTCTTCTTCTTCTTCTTCTTTCCCGCGATCAAAAATTTTCAAGCATGGGAAAAAACCGTTCCAATCCTATTCGAGCGTGGTTTTTGCCCCGCACAAAAGAAGGAAAACGTGTAACGTGCCGTGTCGAAACGGACGTAGAAAGGCCCTTCTTCTTCTTCTTCTGTCTCCGCAAATGGATATCTCGGCAAGATTCACGAGAAGCACGGACATCTAATAAAGGTATCTAATAAAGGTAGTTTGAAATTCTCCGCAAGTGCACTAGCTCTCCCCGAAAAATCGAATAATCCAAGGTGGTGTATATATGTGTGTGTGTGTGTGTGTGTGTGTGTGTACACACTCGACGTCTCTCTTTCCTCGTCGTTGCCATGATACTTTATCCACGAAGTTGGAGGTTGGTGGTTTAAATCAAAACACGGATACGTGGCACAATCACCGGGGGCGATTTCTCAAGTCTCGAAACCGAGTTTCAAATACTTTCACGAAGACGAATGGGTTTGGAAAAAGTCAGCCGTCGCTTTCAGCCAGGAAAAGCGCGCCAACGAAAACTGATTGAACCTTTAAAAATCACCGAGTCTTATGGGAGGGGGAAGGAAAGGAGTTGTTTCGGATAGATTTCCATCAGAATGTTGATGGAAATACGTTTTTATGTTTTCCTTCTTTGGTTGGACAGCAGATTCTTTTTGATTTATTATTTTCAATTTGATTTTGGAAAGAAATCGTTTATTTAAGTAAAGAATTGCGCGTTAGAAATTTAATAATTCGATTCGAATTCGATTTTTAATAAAGATTTTAACGAAGATTTATTTATTTGAAGATTATTTGAAGTAGATTCTAAAAGGTATATGCCGTCTTCTTTTTCTTCCAATCGTTTTTTAAACTCCCTCTCTATTTAATTTCAAAATAAACGAGAGATATTGTTTATAAAGATAAAGATTTAAGATCGTGTTAAAACGAATAAACTTCATCTTTTTCTTTATATTTCCTTATGTTTAATCACTTTTTAAATGATGATTAATTTAGTTTTAAAACAAGAGAGTGAAATTATTTATTGCGATTTAAATATTTCCTTTTTTTTCTTCTTCTTCCTCTTTTCTCCTTTTCGATCCTTAATGATTCATTGAACGTTTCTAATTTGATTTCGGCAAAGGAAAAGAGGTTATTTATTAACGAAGATTTTTGTATATTTGAAGATATCGAACGATTTCACCTTTTTTCTTCCCCCTTTGGGATATCGAAAAATGCTGATTGTTCTACGAGGCCAGTTATTTGATTGCAAAAACTGAAGTAGCGATGTCGAAGAGAGAATTACTATCCGGGGAGGGAGGATGAAAATGTAAAAGTGTGCATGTACATCCAGTAACACGCGATGAATTTCAAATCGATCGCGGAAACCGTCGATCGCTTGTGATAAAATTTCATCACACGTCTACATCCACTGTATCGTCCGACTTGAAGATCAAAGATAATTGGCAAATAAATATTTCTCGTAAGAAGATTGAACAATCTTCAGAATCGTAAAAAAAAAAAGCACTTGAATTCATCTCGATTCCATTCATCTCGCGGTTATCCTTTTTTGGACGATCACTCGATTCCAATGCATATATATATATCTTCAAAAATATTTAAATATTTTTCATCTCGAGATATCCCTTCCTTCCCTACACCATCTGTGCTTCATTTTTAACATTTAATCGAACATCCGAGATCCATTTGTTATTACAAGTCTCATTGTAATATCCATGTTGTTGCAGCGCGCACATTTTTAACGATCGAAACCAAACAGTAGGAAAGATAAATATCGCGATGGATCACTGCCGTCTCTTCACTAGATAGGGAGGGAGGGGGAGAGAGGGGGGGGATTCCTTACCGATCACGAAAACGGCGAGGACGACAAAAAGGGACGCGAGAAGAGAAGATCGCGCTTCCCGATATCTTGTGTCACTTCTCATCGTGTCTCCTCTCGTATTCTCGTTCAACTCTCGGGTTTTATACACACATACGCGGTTCACGGTTCACTGCTCCGTGTTCATATTAACACTTCCTGCTCCCCCCCGCGTGTGTCACACCTATCCACGGCGATTCATTCGACCGGACCGGAGAGGAGGGGGGAGAGCGAAAAGAGAAGAAGGAAACCAAAAAAAAAAAAAAAAAAAAAAAAAAAAAAGTTCACACACACTTCTCCACCAAAATTTACAAAATCCCTCTTGTTTGTCCGTTCGTTCATTCGTTTCTTCTCCTTGTAAAAGAATGAAAAGAGTATCCACCGCTCGCAACCCCTTGCAACACCTTTTTTCACCGTACAAACGACAATGTCACCGGAGGGTCGAGGATCCAGCCGAGGAGAGGAGAAGAGAGAGAGAGAGAGAAATAGAAAGAGAAAGAGAGAGAGAAATAGAAAGAGAAAGAAAGAGAGAGAGATAGAAAGAGAAAGAGAGAGAGAGAGAAAAAAAGAGGAAAGATAGAAAGAGAGAAAGAAAAAAAAGAGAGAGAGAGAGAAAGAGAGAGAAACGAAAAAAATTGGGACCAAGCGACGTCGAGATTCGATTCGTCGATCACTCGGTCGACGATGGCGCGCCGCGCGTCTCGGGACCGACGTAAACGCGAGGAGCTCTTCCGGTCGACGTACAAACGGCTACTGAGGCTCCCGCCGCAAGCACGGAAAGCTTCCAGTGCGTCGACTCGGTCATGCAACCCGAAAGCTCGCCTCCCTCCCCCTCCACGCACCCTGTCGCCTCGTTCTCTCCTTCGCCCCCTCCCCGCCTCGTTTCACCCCCTCGGCCATTTTAGCGTCGTCGTCGTCGTCGCGATCAGCCGCGCCAGTGCGGGCTGCGCGCGCGAGGAAAGCTTTCTGAAGCTTTCGGGGAGGGGGAGGAGGGGGAAGAAGAGGGGAGGGGGAGGAGGGGTGATTGATTGGCGATGAAACTTCGCGACTGATTGAATCTTTTTTTCTTTTTTTCTTTCTTTCTTTTTTTTTTTTTTTTCTCCTCCTCACCTTTTTTTTCTTTTCACGTTTCAATATCGATATCCCCGCGCGGGATGGGTACACACGACAGGGTGTGTATATCCGCGTGGATGTTGAATCTTTCTTGAAGGATGGTTGAGGAGGGGAGGGAGGGAGGGCGATGGTTAATTTCGAAGGGGACTCTTGACTCTTGGACGCGATTACGGTTCAAGTTTTGGCCGCGTGGTGGCCAGTTCTTGATCGATTGTTCTTTCGATTATTCGTGGACAATATGGTCAATTTCGGTCCTTTGACGAGAGAGATTCCAACACGAGAATGATTTCGGTTCCATGTTTGTAAGATGGAAGAATCGAGTTTTTATTTTGGTTTGTCTTTTTTCGTGATGATGTTGGAGAAAATATAGTTTTTTTTTTCTTTAAATTATTCAGATGAGATTGAAATGTAATGTTTCGTGGAGGTTATAATTGTTAGAAGTGTAAGTTGGATGCAAGAAAGACGTCTTTTTTTTTTGAGTAAAATGCTTAATTAGATTCTTTNTGAGTGAAATGCTTAATTAGATTCTTTTTTTTTTCTTTTTTCTTTTTATGGATACTCTGTAAATTTCAATTGTTGTAGATTTAAAACTGTTGAAGTTATGTTTCGTAATTTAAACTTGCCAATAAATTCTTATTTCTCTAAAGAAGAAGAAACTCACAATTATCACTAAGTCTCTTCTTGCATCCAATAGTACAATTGTAACTTGTTAATTGGCAAAGATTTAATAGAAATGAATTACGAATGAGATATTGGTGGATTTTGGCTTCTTTCTTGCATTTCTGAAACAAATAAACATAATTGTGAGATATAATTTGTTAATTATTAATTCGTATTATTTAATTATTAATCAGTGAATTATCGTGCAAAATATAACAATATCTAATCAAATGGATTCTAACGTTTTTTTAAATTTTTATAATCTTTTTTTTCAAAGAAATAATAATAAATATAATATAGTAAGTAATTATGACGGTAATTATTTTTATTTCAAGTCATCAATTATTTAATGCCATGAAAATGTCCTATATTAGACACTTAAAATGCTCTCCAAACATTTCATCATCAACATCATCCAAACATTTACATCCTCTCGCCTGAATAAACTGTTATGCTGAAATCAACATATAGTATAAATTATACCACAAATTTTGCTCGAATTTTTTCAAGAATTATATAGAATCTTATTGTGTCCAAATAAAGATCAGGATTATAAGATTGCAAAAAGGAAAAAAAAAAAAAAGAAATGAAACTTGAAAGATAGATTCATTTTTGATTCGTTATCTCTAAAATATTCTTCACATTTGTGTAATATTTTTGTGTAGCATCGCTTGAAACAGTTTACATGATTTACTTGATGTTTTTACGAAACATGAAAACCAGAAATACAATTTTCCATCCCATCGCTACGCTGAATATGAACTAACCAAATTAATTTAACATTGATAGAAGATAAAACAATTTGTACGTTTACGAAAAAAGTTTATCAAATGGATCATCTATCTCACTGATTCTTCTTTTGTAAAAACATCAATCAATCGAAAATACTCAAAAAAAAAAAATTATGGTATCATTATTCTAAGTGGAGGCTGCACAAGATCATCTTGTGATCTTTTAAAATTTTCAAAATGATATGAATCACTACTAGAACGTTCTTATTGAATAAGATTGCTAGATATCTAACATCATTCACATCATTCTACACGAAGATAGCCCGTAACGACGACAGTTCGCCCACTTTTAAATCTCGTACAGCCAATTGAAGCCAGTTTCTATCTTGGATTTATCCATATATCAACCATATTTCTTTTCATCTCGTACAAAGCATTTTATTAATTCAAGTTTATTTTCGTCGTTATTATTCATTTTTTTATCGAGCCATTTTTTGAAAAGGGTATCATAACAAAAACATTCCGATTATTGTATTTTAACACTAAAAATAATAATAATAGATATAATAATAATAATAATAAATATATCGTCCCTGAAAAATTTTAAACAGTTGGTGCAATATTTATTTGAAGTAATGAAAAATTTAAATAATTATTAAACGATGCAAAGGAATATCATTTAATAATTTGATAATGTGTTTATAATTTTGTGAAAAATATTTACTTAATTTTATGTTTATTATTTTCATCAAATATAAATGTTTTATTTCGATTAATATATTCGATATATTTTAAGAATTTTAAATTACGTGTATAAAATTATTTAGGTATTATAAAAATAATTAAATATATAGTATATAAATAATTATATTTCTTTCAAATAAAAATCAATAGTTGTATTACAAAAAAAAAAATCTGTAACCAGAATTTGACTTATTTGACATATTCATAACATGACAGTTAAAAGTAGATTTTGCTTATTTCTTTAAATACGATATTACTCCTTTTATATAATAAAAAATAATTTTTATAGCATAAAAAAATGTATTTTTATATTTACGTGAAATTTAAAATATTTGCTTTATATGAATTATAAACTCTGTGAATGATATGAAGATCTCGATAATACATTGGAAATACATCTCGACTTTGATTTTAATACATCTTGACGTTGATTTGACATTGATCCGAAACATGCGTAGTAATCATCTTAAAAGAGTTAGTAATAATTGACCGTAATACTACATAAGTGGTATCAAGTTCAAACGTCAAGGAGAGGCAGTATTTCCTGTACATCAATTTAATAGATAGTTTATCAGTTATATTCTAAACACACATAATTATTTTCTTAACTATTATTAAAATATCATTTATCTCAATTTAACATGCATGTATTTATAACTTAACGACTATCGTCATTGAAAATAAAATATCGAGATAAAATATTTTTTAAAATCATTTTTCACAAAATCACGAAATATTTCAAGCAATATCACGATATAAACTGATTTTTCTTAACTTAACCGTCCAATTTTTTATTAAATTTTTTATTAAATATCGTAAAAAGAAACGTTAAAGAAATTAATATAACGTTATAATCCTATATATAAGTAATATATAGGTAATAAATATATATAGATAATAGTGATTTTTTTAATAAATGACGTGGCAATTTTTTGCTACCTAACATGATGCCACAAAAGTGAAAACGTGTAGCCGATGAAGCGTCGAGAACAGGGACGTGAAATGCGTTCATAATGTGAACGTGACTTCTTCACTATTTTTATAACCTAGAAATTCTACAAAATTTTTATTTTGACATTTTTAATGTCAACCCTCTTTTACATTGAATAAAATTCTCCGTATCTCCGTCTGAAATATGAAAAGCTTAATTTCAACAGAATTTAATTACAATGTATTTTAATTAAAATTCAAATAAGACGTTAATAATAATATTTTACGAATATATATATATATATTTTAAATAGAAATATTTTAAATAGAACGTAGAATAATTACGATCTTTAAATTCCTATTATATCATAAACATATCTAGAAATAACATTTATAGTGTACATTCCATTACGTATAAGCTCAATTATAAATATAAAAATTCAAGCAGAAGCATAGCAGAATAAATAATTTTATTCATTGAATTTTATAAATGAAATAATAAAAAGAAATTATAAAATAACGTAACATAAAAATTGGTTTCTTTCTAATTAAACAAAAAGAGATAAGTTATTTTTGCATCGATACGATAATTATCGCGATAGTCGTTCTCCTTCGATTTGATTGATTTGACATGTGTGATTTAAATTGATCCTAAAGGAATCTGGACGATCACGATCGTATCGTTTAAGAGAAAACAAGTATATCACGTACAGTTAAGGTGATTAAGACCGGATGGATGAGCCATGTTCCGGTGAGTGACCTGCATTCCAGATACAGTATTAGTCGAATCGAGACGTGATTGATGTATACAGGATAACAGCATTTCACACATAGCTATCTATGCTTAATTTCTTAAAGATAGTTATTTGGAAATAATTTTGAAATTCTTTTGACATTCCAAATGGAAAATAATCATATTTTTCAAATATCAATGACGTTGAAAAATCCATTTATATTTTATGTCATGAATAAATTGTAAATTTTTACGCATTTCCTTAGAATTTAAAGAATAAAAATGTATAAAAAATATTTAAAGTAAAGTTTTCATTATCATTATCTAATAATTTTTCATTATCTAATAACTGAAACAAATTTTAATTTCCAGATTTCATTTCCTTCAAGTTCATTTTATATTTTTAAAAATATTGGATAATTTGTATAAACTCATATGTAATTGTTAATTTAATGTGTTATTTTAATGTTTGAAGATGTCATTCCATAATTCTTCCTAATTATTTAAACAGCAGTTTTTTCCTTAAGAATTAATGAGTTCTTTATTATTAATTCGTTAATAAATCAAGAATTCATAAAGTTTATTTTCCTTAGAAATAATTAATTTGTAACATATTTTAAGCAAAACTTGCAAGAAGGAACATAAACTTTTATATGAATATTAAATGATGAGAAAAACCTTTATGGGCAAAGATTCATATATTCAAAGGGTAATATGAGAAAAGTTTTATTGTATGATTATCTACAAACGCTTCTAAATTAAATTAGTTTTCCACAATCTGAAATAAAAAAAATTTTGATTCATTTCTAGTA